AGATCCTCTCTCTCCTCCTTTCTGCCCTTTTTTGGCATAAATAATCCAGGCCACTGCCTACTCCCTTGGCATCAGCTGGAGGGGAATTTTCTAAAGGACGAAGTTCTTGGGAAATGTCCACCCTTTTCTCCCTTTTGTCTTATGACAAAGTGCTGCGAATGGATCCTGCCCTTGCCTGGTAATTCCTCAGGCCAGAACCAACTGAACCAGAAACAAGGAGACACTGACCTTCCTCACCCCGGGGCGAGTTATAAGGCCAGCAGGCTGTCTCCTATCTCTCATCCCGTAGTCCTTCCCCTGGGGGAGGGCAGGGCACACTTTAAGGCTTTAGAGCCAGGGAAGAGGCGTCCTGCATAGAATTTCTCAGAAATGTTAGCCTGCCAGACTCTGGAGGCAAGATCCAGAAAATGGAAGCTGCAGACCTTGCTGGCAGAGGCAGCAGGGGACAGTTCCGTCTTGTCAGCATTGGGTCCAGGCACGTCCCATACCTCACTCTCACGCTCTGCCTCTCCCCAAGTTGTTGACTGGGGCTTCCCAACCTCCATTCACCCCCAGTGGGAGGCTGATGAATGTCAGTCTTCAGGTCCTGCAGCCTGGGCAAGTATGACCCACAACTCAATAAGCGTCTTTTAACCTGAAGCCACACTGACCCCTCCCCCATATTTGCCCTGCGGGGAGTGGGGGGGTAGCTCCGGCTTGTGGAAGAACCACCCTGCTTTGCACTTCCAGCTGTGGAGGAAATAGGAGCACGCAGGGGGCTTCAACATCTGCAGCAGCTACTTGGCCTCTGCTTGGCCTCCCTTTCCTGAGTCTTGAAAGGGAAGACAGAGCCCTGTGTGACTGGGGTGCCAGCAGGGACAGGATCAGGCTTGCTAAGTTCAGGGGCTGGTCATGGCGCGACTGGAGCAGGAAGCCTGGCTGTTTACCTGCGTCCTACCGGGAACAGCCCGCTGGCTCTCAGCACCCCTGCCCTCATTCCTGGGTGCTGCTGGTCCCCTACTGCTGGTGCTGGTGATACTGTAATCTCTAACTTGCCCTAGGACTCACCGGGACTTTCAGAGGAAGGAGACGCAGGTTCAGCCTCCTCCTCGCTGCTAGTTTCTGTTGTTTATTTCTCTGATCTTTAAAAAACAGGGCAGGGGAGGGGGACAATTTCAGCAGAAGCCATGCGGGCACCCAGTTTCAGGTATCTGTCCCTTGGGCAAGATCTGATGCTCTCTCACCTTCTCAATACTGAGACCTGAGGACTTGGAAGGGAGAGCAGGTGGTCTGGAAGCTTCCTATGCCAGTGATGTGGCTTTTTTCCCCCAAAAGTACTGCAGAGGACCTCAGCTTTGGCCAAGACACAGGTCCTAGTGCCCCAATGGAGGGGTCTGCACAGCTGCTGTCTTTGTTGTGGTTTCTAACTACAGTGGAACCTCATTCCCTTAAATTAGACCAAAGTCTTCCTTAAAGGGCCTCTGCCACACACATACCCGACCCACACTTGGGCCGGACTCTGTGGATCACCTTCGAAAGCCTGGAAAAACTGCACCCAGCCCTCCTACTAGGTAATGGACAGGGTAACTCCCCTCCCCAAGCTTAGGAAAATCATTCTGTAAAATGTGGTTAACAGGGCTTTTCTCCAGGACTTCCGTCTCATTCTGGCTACTCCCCAGTTTTTCTCCCCCCAAAAAACAAACACACACACTCAAAACAAACACACACACTCTCTCTCTCTCTCTCTCTCTCTCTCTCTCTCTCACACACACACACACACACACACACATACACTCAGAATTGTTTTCCGGGGGGTTTTCCCTCCAGATTCAATTATGGGAATCAGCTTAAGAACGAAGTTGTGAAACCCTTGCGTATTTTCCGTAGTTGTTTTTTTTTTTTTTTTTTTTTTTTCCTTCCAGTGAATCCCCACAGCACAGATTTTCCTCCAGGGCATTCTTCAGATCCTAGGCCCACCCTTACCATGCCTCCCTCTTAGGAAGATAAATTCTGTGGGCAGAGTGGAGGGCGAAGAATGCCTGCTCTTCCTCCCTCCCACCCCCCTCCCCGGGGACCAGGACTGGCCTCTGCACCCTCCCAGGGTGGCTGAACTCAGAGGACTCTTTTCTCTGAGTTCACAGTTCAGGACTCTGAACTCTGGGGCCTCTGAGAAGTAGATCTCCACCTGTGCCTGGAACAACAGTACAAGTGAAAGTTCTGAGAGGTGCCCTTCCCCTTCCCCACATCACCTGCTCCTCCCAGGCCGTGACATCCACCTCCCTGCGACGGCCCTTTCTGTCCATCCTGTAGCCTAAACCAGGGCTCCACAGCCCTTGCATATTTGTGTTGGCATCTCCTGTCATCTTCCACGTCAGTTTACTCAATACCCTCTCAAAGAGGGCCCTTAGTCACATGGGGTTTTCTGCTGTTTTTCAATGTCATGTCCCTCCCCCTTGTCCCATACCTATGCCCCAACCCAGTTAGGCTCAATGATAATTGGCACTGACCTGTTTACAATTTTAAGTATTTTAAGTATTCTGCTTACGTGAATAAAGCAAATATGCAGTGGAGGGAGAAAAAAATCTTAAATAGCAAAAAAAAAAAAAAAGCAAAAAACAAAGGATGTCCCATAATCCTTTCTTCCAGTCACATTTTCACTCTGTTATATTCCATCCCAACCCACTCTATTGCCTACTTCTCCCAGGAGACCCTGGCTGGCCCCCCAAAACCCAGCCTCCTACCGTGTTCAGACCCTTTGCTACCGGCCCAGTGTCTGAACAACCCCACACCTCACCCACCTCTGACCCAGCCAGCAATCTACAGGTCAGACCCCCATGTGCCTTGCCTCTGTCTCTTGCATCAGGCTCTGGGATCTTTCTGGTGTTGTAATCTCTGCCCCACCCCCACCCCCACAGGGTCATGTTCACCTCAAATCCTGTGTTCCTTAAAGGCCTGGTTTAACTTAGTGACTTCTTCCTTAAAGCCTTCTGAATTGCATGCCATGACCAAGAAAACCAAAAGGACCTTTTCTCCTTTTGGTCCAAAGGGAGACTGAGATTCAGTGTTTGTTGACCAAATGGTTGTCTTCCTGCAGCATCTTTCTCCCTCGAATGTCAGAGTGTTTGTGGCTGAGTCTTAGTCAAGGTGTAGTATCTGGCACACAGGCCTGAGCCTGCTTTATGAGGGGGTCAGTGAACTGTCTGCCAGGGCTGTAGTTTGGAAGGAGTTCCAAATGCTGTGGACACCTCCCTAGGGCAAGGCCAGGCTGGGGAAGGGGAGCCCATGGGAAGCCACAGTATGACAGCCCGGCAGGGGAACCCAGTAAGGTGGAGCTGGCTCAGGAAAGCTGGACCTTACCCACTTCTGGGCAGTGCTGCCTGGAGGCACAACCAGTGGGATCCCAGCACAGGGGGAACTCTCTGTCTGCACTGTAGCTGCCATGTGCTCCCCAGGCCAGCATGAGGGGCCAGGCTACCTATGGGCCTCATCTGTTGTGCTGAAGCACAGGGTCATCCAGGGCAGGCAGGTGCTGCTGAGGGGGACGGTGAGTAGGGAGCGTCTGTCCTTGGGACTTTGAACCATGTCTGGTATTTTAGTTCAAAATCCGTCTCCACAATGTGGAGTCTAGTGCCCTCAAAAATGACTCCAGGGGGGGCCTCCCTGGTGGCGCAAGGGGTTAAGCGTCAGCACTATGAAGCAATCTGCAGCTACTGCAGCACGAGTTTGATTCCTGGCCAGGGAGGTGACCCACATGGCGCAGCAGACCTCTTCTGTCTGGCCCGCTGCTCCCCTCAGCAGTGTATTTCAGTCAACCTGCCTGTTCTGTTCCCTACTCTGTCTCTGGTGAATCCTCTCACTGTCCCTCCCCCTGCCCCCGCACCTCTGGCCTACACACCAGTTCTTGTATGCATAAATAAATAAATCTTTTTAAAAAATGACTCTGGCTTCCCCCCCCACCCCCAGAGGCTCCTGGGTCTGTGCAGGGGTTCTGGCAGTTTCTGGGACACCACCTGGTACTCTAAAGGGACAATGATAAGAATAGGGCAAGTGGGCGCCTGGGGGGCTGTTTCTGAGCTCCAGCCCTGTTATCACCCAGTGTGAGCCCTGTTGCCTTGGAGCTGCCTCTCCCATCCAGCTCAGCCTCAGGGCTGGTTATCTGTCACACCACGGGCTCGTTGGTCTGGCTGTTTCCTGCCAGTCTCCCTATCTTAGACTGAAGCATCCGAAGGGGGCAAGGCAACAGACACCTCTGAGTGGGAGGAGGGTCACCCCTTCCGACAGAGCTCAGAGTGCCAAGAGTGGGCTGTCTTCATATCAGGAGCCTCAGCCGTCTTTGGGGTGCTCCTCCTACCTCATTTCCTCTGAACAGCAAGTGAATGGGGGTGTCCCATAAATGAATGGACACCAACGGAGGAGATTCTGGCATCAAACCATTCTCTGATCACATGGAAGTGGCCTTGGTCCTTTTCTCACCCTTCGGGGCATCCATGGGCTAGAATGTGGACACAGGTGGCAGATGAGCTGGGCAGACGCTCCGTCAGTACTCTCTCCCATCTGCCTCCCTGCTCTCTACCTACCTCATCTGCCACACGGTTTGTCTGTCTCTCTGGACAGGGCTGCCCACCTGTGCGTGCAGGGGGTGTCCCATCGAGGGGTAAACCGAGTTCTATGGCTATGTCCCCCCATAGAGGACAGTGGTACCCGATCACAGGACCCATAGGCATAAGGTCAGAGAGCAGATCCTGAAGCGCCATCCCTAGGTGAGACTGGACAGGCCCCTCCGCAGCAGGCTGTCTCTCTTCGAGCCAGATGATGTGTGGGCTTCTAGATGGCTGAGATTTCTTCTTTTCTGAAGAAAGGGAAGCTGCTCATTACTCAGAGGGAAAGCTTTGGGTAAGTGGGGCCTGGAGTTCTCCTTGAAGATGCTTCCTCAGGAAGCCCAGGGATGAACTGAGTCCTTGCCTTAGGCCCCCTGGCCCAAGAATAGGAAGGAGTCAGGGAAACCTGTGCTCTCTCTCCAGGTCTGCTACCTATGCCACAGCCTCCTGACACTGGCCGGGGTGGTAGTCAGCAGCCAGGACATCACTCCAAATCAGTGGGTGAGTCTCCCAAGAGACTGAACTGGGCCGGGCAGGGCTGGGGATGCCCCACCCACTGTCAGGAGCTGCAGTGTGGGAGACTGAGAAAGAAGCTGGCCTAGGAGAGCCAGGCCTCCTCCTTGTCCCACAAGGTGTTCCCAAGGGATATTGACCCGTGCCCCCAGCAGCTTCCCCTTTTCTCCCCACCCTTTCCCGCCCGACTTCAGCCACTCCAGTAGTCTCTCTCTTTCTCTGACTTCATTCTCCCTCCTCCCCCACTTTGGCTGCACCTGGCCTGTGCCACACCCCCCTCTGCAGGGGGAGCTGCAGCTGCTGTGCATGCAGTTGGACCGCCACATCAGCACCCATATCCGGGAGAGCCCCCAGGCCATGCACCGGACCAAACTCAAGGACCTGGCCGCCCAGACCTACATCCGCTGGCAGGAGCTGCTGGCCCACTGCCAGCCCCAGGTGGTGCCCCAGCCCCCAGACCCAGGAGGGGAGGGAAGTGGTCAGGCAGGCTGACCAGAGCCAGCAGTGTGTCCGCCTCCGCTGCAGCTGCTGAACCTTACTTGGGAGATGGGTCAGTGGCAATGTGGGGCGGGGGCCAGGAGGAGATGCCGCGGAAGACTTTCATCTTTCTTCTCAAGGACCAATGCCCAGTGTAGGGTTTTGGAGAGGGGAATACAGAGAAGGTGACTCCTGGGGAAACACAAAAATATACTTCTGCCCTGGAGAGGAAAGAACCAGTTTATTGTGATCAGTGCCAGGAAGGGGCACCAGAGGCAGCAGCTGTCCACCATCTGCCCACTTGTCCTGCAGGCCCGAGGCTGACCTCCTCCTCTGCTAGCAGGAAGGTTTCCAGGCTGCTGCCCTGATCCCTATGGTTTTTGTAGCCACAGTCTCCGCACCCTTCATTTTTTCAGACTTTCTAGGTAATAATATTCATAGCTGATATTTATTGAACAAAGACCCTTTTCTTCGTGAAGTCACATAATCTTCATGGTGCGGGTATTGTGAGGATCCCATTTTACAGATGAGCAAGTTAACCAGAGTCACCAACAGGTTAAATAGCTTGCCCCAAGTTAAACAGCTTGCAGGCAGCATGCAAATGTCAGAACTGGGGCACAGAGCCAGCCTGACTCCCCAGCCTGCAGACTTAAGCGCAGCCCAGCCTCTGCTCTGGCAGTCTCCCTCTTGGCCTCCACCCTCCAACAAGCAACACTGGCTGACTTGGGGACTCTTCCCTCCCCTCACCCTCAGCCAGGATGGGGATGAGCTAGATCTGGTGAGAAGTTCTCCCAGGGCTTCTCCGCAACCAAATTGCCTTTTTTCTCACTTCTCTCTGCTTGTCCTTCCCCCTATAACCTCTGACTTGAGGCTGACACATCGGCCACAGGCTGTGGCTTGGGTCTCAGATTTCACAAGTCTCTGAGAAAGCTGGAGAGCAAACCTCACCCTCAGTCCCCAGGGAACTAGATTACACTAGTCTCTGGTGGGAAACAGTGTGTTTGTCATGAAAAGGAGAAAAAGGGATTCGTGATCCCGTCCAGCCAGGGGGCAGGTCCCACCTTCCTAGTATAGCTCCCTGGATCTACATCCTGGTCTGCATCGGTGGGTAGAGGGGCCCAGGCAGGGCACTCAAGCATGTGGTCAAGTGGCCTGTTGGCCTGTGGTGACCCTGCCTGGGCCAGGAGCCCCAAAAGTCTTGTCGTTCTGCACCTGGCACGGAGGAGGCCTACAGCGGATGTTGAATGGATGCTGGAGGGTCAGGGAGCATCAGGTCGATGGGCACCATTTGAGTCCAGGCCATCACACCCCATTTTTCGTCCTTGTCACAGGCCCAGTATTTCAGCCCCTGGAAGGACATGTAATGGAGCAGGCAGGGTGGCCCAGAGCTCTGGACTCTGGCAGGAAATGAACAGGGCTCAGAGAACAAGAGAAGGTGACGAATGGAGACCAGAGGAAGACCGGTATGAAGAAGCAAGGGTCTCCCTTCACCACTACCCCAGGCCCCACCAGGCCCAGGATCCTTCCTGTCCTTCCGTGCTTAGTCCACCTCTCAGCTCTCCTTTCCCTCCCAGCCATCTCCTCTTCCCCCATCGCCTTTGTCTCTACAGCTCCGGTTTCCCGGGGCCTCCTACTCCTCCCCCACCCCCCTTCTCTCTCTGTCACTAATGTGAGGCTTCTTTGTGCACACTAAAGTCTTATTTCAGCATCAGTGGTTTAGAAGATTTCCTTCAATCCCTATCCTGAGGGCTCATGACATCTCTGCTCCAGCACTTTGCCGAGGAGTCTCACCTCTGACAGTCACGTGACTGGGTCTTGGGCCTCACCCCCCTGCAGCTGAGGGCTGTTTGTAAATCTGGAGGGTGGAGCACTTATTCCTGTGGCCCTAGAGCTGTCAGAAACCCAGGAAGCAGGGTTGGGGAACATTTCTTTGGACTCTGCCTGGGACTACTCCCCACTCCCCGCCCCGCTGGGAAGGATACATGGAGTGACATGGTAGATCAGGGCTGTAATTACTCTTAACTCAGTTTATTGTTGAGCTCTGAAATCAACTCTGCAGACTTAAGAGTGGGGGTGGTACCAAAAGACAGTACCAAATACTCCTTTTGCTTCCCCTCAGCCTTGTCCACGGTCAGTTTTATGGGCTCTGAACCCTAATGGGTGCTAGATGCCTGACCTGCCCCCTTGAGAAGTGACTGGGAGATTTTGTATCCCTGGAGATCCTGAGGTAGTCATTTTCTCTGCCCACTTTTCTAATCCCAAGAGTCCATTTCTGGTCTGTGGCCCCTCCTGACTCTTTCTGGGTTGGGATGGGATTTTGCAAGGGCCATAGGAGGCAGATAGGAAGTAGCAGCAGCAGAGGATGACCTCTGCCCTGTTGGTCTGTACCCACTGCACAGCTCAACCCCAGTGTCTGCTGATAGAGCATCACCGTGACAGGTGCTTCCGACTTTGTTTATGTGGCTTTTCCTTTTCTCTTTGGATCAGGCAGGCCAACTAGGAGAGACAAAATAGCCCCCAAATAAAGGGCTACTCTAGGCTGATTTGACAGACCCAAAGTGTATTTTGACACAGCTGCCACCTTTGCTGGTCTCGGGGATGCTTGCCAGCTGGGGGCATGTGTAATTCAGAGCACACAGCAGAGTTTGGATACCATACAAGATGTCTCCCTGCTCAAAGCCTTTGCCAGGTAAAAGGTAGAAGAAACCCTTGGCCAGGACGACTTAGATGCCCAGGCGACTTGACTGAGAGTTCCGGTTTCTGTTCCTGGCCTCATCACAGTCCCCCTTGGCCAGGGCCCCAGGGCCCCAGAGGCATCAGGTAGGCCTGAGAGGCTCCGATAAAAGAGTGGCAGCTCTCGTGAGCCAGCCTTCCTTACCCTCCCTCAGGGCTGCCTCTGCTTCTGACACTGCACATCCTGACAGTTAATCCTCAGCTATTCAGTTTGCTCTGGAAACCTGGAAATCACCTTTGAAATTTCCCTTCTTTGTTCTCACTGCCAAGGACAGAGAGGGAGTAGGGAGACCCGAGAGGCTGAACTTGGGAGTTTCCAGTTCTTGAAGCTGCCCCTGCTTGGCTCTAAGAAAGCAACTGGGCTATCCATCAGCGTAGCAGTGGGGAGCCCTTCTCCCCAGACTGGTTCTTGTATACTGTGCCTTCCTCCTCTGCTCCTCAAACACCTTCATCCCCAAGAGAGAAACAGATACCAAGGAGAGAGGAGGTGTTGGTGACGACTAGGTCCCTCCTGAGACCTAGCTGTAACCTGAGCAGAGGTGTGCACTTCGAGGTCACCCAAGGGCGTACGCTATCTCCTGGGACGTGTAATGGGCCCTTGCTGGAACTGCCTGGGAGCTTGACCAGACCTTCTAAAACTAGTCTGGGATCTCTTAGCAATTCAGCCTCCTCTAGGCCAGAATTCCACGATGGTATTGGCAACTTTGCCACTTGCCCTTTCCATATCCCTAAGCCCCTGGGAAAAGGCCGAGGGATATCCTGATGGAAGCCACTGGAAACGCAGCATCCGGGGCTGTGATGACGGATGTTTTCCTGCTTCCTTTTGGTGGCGGTGGCAGGGAGGGGCTGGGAAGGGAAAGGCTTCCCAGGTGGATGACTTTGATAACTCCCTTTTAGGAGGAAGTAGAGAGAGGAAGTCCTTTTCTGAAGTTCCCTCTCACCCTGGTCCCTACGCGCTCAGATCTCCAAAGGGCTGACCCAGGCTTTCCCATTTGCCCTTCGGGGGGTTGCCAGCCGCTCCTGGCTCCTTGGAAGTCAGCCAGGCAGCAATGACCAACAGAACCCCAGTGGCCCAGAGCCCCCTCCTTTCCCCCCTCCCCCCCATGGGCTTGGGGATAAGGATCCCAAATGGGGCACCATGGCACAGGAACAAAGTGCATAGGGGAGAGAGAGGTGAGCATCTTGGGCCCATCTCTAGGGGCTGCCAGTGGATCCTGTGAGAACCTCAGAAGGCATTCATTCAGCACATCTGTCTTTTCTTGACTTAGTGAACAGTTGAACAAATGGGGCATATGGGGCAGTCTGTTAAGGCCTGACGAATGGGTACCTTCCAGAGAATATACCAGGTGCAAGAAAAAAGAGGTAAAAAACAGAGAGAGCGAATATGCCAGATGGGCCCTAGGAGAGACTTGACAGTACATGAGCCTTTTTTTTTCCTTCAGTATTTTATTTCTTAATTTAAGACCCAGGAATCCTCCTTTTTGACTTACACTTCTATTAAGAATTATGAATCATGAGCAATCATGCAGGAAATCTCATCTCTTGTCCACCCACCCACGGAAAAGGCCAGTGCTGGAAATGAACAGAACACAGCAGGAAATGAGCGAAAGTAGAAAAGCGGATGGGGCTCTATCTTTGAGGATCCTTTGGGAGGGCAGGGCTTCAGGAGTCTGTGAGCAGGAACTCAGCAGAGGTTCGGAAGACTGCTCCTGCCAGTGAAACCAAACCACCTTTTAAAACTTTCCACTGGGGCCATCTTGCAGGTGCAGCCAGGAACTCAAGTCTCTGCCTGGTAACCCTTACACCTACAAGGTGGGGGTGGAGGTGGGGCTTGAAGGTGAGGAAAAGCAGCAGGAAATAAGGTGTTTACTGAGAATCCAAGACCTGACTTAAAATTCTGACCTTGCTGATTATCTACGTGACTTTGGGCAGGTTGCTTAATCTTTCTGATACTCAGTTTATCTCTGAAATGGAAGAAACAATACATACTTTTTTAGAGTATGGTCATGAAGGTGGAAGAAGAGTATGTGAAGGCAGGCTGCAAAGACTAAAGCCCAGAACAAATGTGAGGGAATTGGCATATCAGTTTAGCTTCACTTAAATAGACACAGGGTCTCATCGAGGACGGGGGTCACACACATCTTCCTCCCTGTTGGCTGGAACAGAAGCCTTCCCTGTCACCCCATGCTGATTGTTAACTGGCTTGCCCCCTATCTCCAACATCTCCAAGGCCACAGCTTTTTTTCGGGTGGAAAGGAGCTGGGAAATGTGGCATTGGCCACTGCGGGAGAAGGGGCCTTTATGTGTCCCAGCAAAGACCCAATTGTTACTGAATCCAAACCGGGCTGCTTTTCCCAATTATCTCCACTACTCTTCTGGTCTCCACTTTGCAGATGCCAAGTTTTAACCAGAACAAAGCTCCTGTCCGGACTGATTTATAATCCAGATCTGCTGACAGGGCCCTAAAGTGTTCCTCCCCTCCAGGGTTGTGTGGGTCTTAAAGTCACCACTGAAGCCTCAGGGCCTCAAGTCTCTTCACCTCTGTCCATGACCAAGAGGCGGCATCTGTCGCAGGTGCCCCCGGGGGTGGCCCTGCTTGGGTCCTCTGTCCACCTGCCCAGCCCCGGGACCCAGCTGGCAAAGAGGATACCCCAGCACCGCCCAGGAGGCCAGAGCTACAAGTTATTTCTAAGACCGGCTGTGGGCGGAGGCTGGCTTTTCTGAAGGCGGCGGAGGTTCTGCAGCGGCTCCCCTCAGCCCCTTTCATCTGAACATCATTGCTCCTGTCACTCGTTATTCAGCCTTCCAGTGGCCCAGGAGGAGTCATTTCCTGGGGACAGGCTCTGTGCAGCCCGAGTGGAGAGCTGTCTTCACCGGGAGCTGGGCGAGGATCACAGAAAGGGTCTCATGTCTGGAGAGTGAGAACCAAGGGGCAGACTGTCTCCAAAGACTTGGGCGTCTTCCTGGCCCATTTCAGTCTGAGAGCAGGGGTCAGTGGTCGAGCATCTGGGCCAAGAACCGAAATAGAATCTGGGGCCAAAAGACGGACCATTCAGGACCGCCCCAAAGAAAAGCCCGGGTTTCCCTGCGCCCCTCCCTCGGATACTCGCCGGGTAACTCCAGCGCGGGGAGCCCCACCGCCCAGTTCCCGAGACCGGTCGCCCAGCCCGCGGTAGCCTGCGGGGGACACTTAGGAGAGAGCGGGTGAGTCCGACTCCCCCAAGGCAGAGCCGGAGTCCCTCCCCCGTCCCACAGCCCGGCGCGGTGGCGCAGGACGCGACTCCCGGGCGCGGGGCGGGCGCGGGGCGGGCGCGCCAGGGGAGGGGCGGGGGTCCGCGCCCTCGGGCTGGCCGGCGGGTCGCGGCGGGTCGCAGCCCCCTCCTGGGCGGGCCTTCGCGTCCCGCCCCCGGCCTCGGCTCGACCCCCCCGCCTGACGTCAGGGGAGGAGGGGACGGGAGCGCGGCGGCTGCAGCGCTGAGAGCGAGTCGGCGCCCGCCGCTGTGGCGCGGGGAGCCGGAGCCCGGGGGCCGAGCCGAGCTGGGACCGGGGGGCGGCGGCGGAGGGGCCGCGGAGGAGCGCGGGCGGGCGGGCGCGCGCAGGCGGGCGAAAGCGCGCGAGCAGGGGCGCCCCGCGGCCAGAGCCGAGCGCGAGGGCGGCGCCCGGGGATTCTAGCCGCCGAGAGGAGGTGAGTGAGGCCGGGGTGTCGCGGGGCCGCCTCTGCGGGACTCCGGGGCCGCCGCTTTGTCCCCCGACTCGTGCAGGGGCCGCCACACGAGCGAGGGACAGGGTCTGGGGGCGCAGGGAGGGGCGCGGCGGGGACAGCTGTGCGCCGGAGATCGTGCGCGCCCCGCGGGCTGCCTCGTGGGGGCTGGCGAGCGAGGCGCGCAGTGTCTGCAGCCCTCGGGTCTGAGGGAGGCGCGGGTCGGTGTGGGGGTGCGGAGCTAAGGAGCGCGGGGGTCCCTCGTGCTGTCCGGTCCGCGGCCGGAATCTTCACCGGGCCCCCTGGCTGTCCCGGGCTCCCCCACCTCCGACGGAAAGTTTGGGGCGGGCTTGGACTGAGGCCGATGTTGTGGGATCGGATTTCCCCGCCGCGGCCCCCCGCCCGCCCATTCCGCTGTGGAGGCGGGTTGCCCTGGAAAGCCAGGCT